ACAGCAACCTCAAACTCCTGGGCTCAAGCGATCCTTCTGCCTCAGCCTCCCGAGTAGCTGGGACTACAGGCATGCGCCACCATGCCCGGCTAGTTTTTTCTATATATTTTTGGTTGTCCCATTAATTTTTTTCTCTTTTTAGTAAAGACGGGGTCTCGCTCTTGCTCAGGCTGGTCTCGAACTCCTGAGCTCAAATGATCCGCCTGCCTCGGCCTCCCAGAGAGCTAGGATTACAGGCGTGAGCCACCGCGCCCGGCCTACAGACTAATGTTCTTTAAAGGCACCGAACTCTCCTTGCTTCCATCTCTGCACACACTGTTCCTTCTCCTTACGCCTACTCCTCAGTGTCAGGTTCCTGTGACTGCCCCTCACGGCTGTCTCCCTTCATAGCAGCCATTGCCACAGTTTAGTATCTGAGGGGCCCCCCTTTCTCCACGGCAGCATGAACCCTGCCCATCTTGCTCATCACTGGACTCCCCAGGCCCGGCACTTAGTAGGTACACAATAAGGAATGACCTATGGGGACCTCTCCCAGGTCAAAGTTCAGAGAAGAGACAAGGCCACAGGTGCTGTCCAACTCTGGTGAAGTGTCTCGGCCTGGCATTCATCAGTGGGCCTAGAACCTTCTCAGCAGCCTCAGCCCTGACCACACCACATGACAGTCACACTGCTGCCCCTGGGCCTCGCATCTCTTCCTGACTGGAACGCCCTACCTCACACCCCCTCCACTGTGCTTCAGGGCCCTGCTCCAGGGCCACCTCTTCCAAGACGCCTTGCCTGGCCTCACAGGAAGGATGCACCCTCTCCCACACCTGGCCCCTCCTCACGCTCAGAGTGCGCCAGGCAGCACCAGAGTCCTTTCCCTCTCTCTCCTGGCTGCAGCCTTTCCAGCTCCTGGTTACCTGACACAGTGGGGCTGAACTGACCTGGGAGGGAGAAAGGCCTGGAGAGGGCGACGCCCGGGGATGGGCAGCAATTACCTCCGCGTCCGTCTCATCGCTTGAACTGGAGGTGTCCTCGCTGGAGCTGTCGGCCTGGCCTGCTGACACCACCCCTGAGGGATGGACACGGAGGCGACTGAGGGACACCCTTTCCAGACTCACCTGCCCCTCCCCAGCACCTCCCCCCATGCCAGCTGCCAATCAAAGCCAGGTGCTGCATGCTCACCCCTCATGTTCAGAGCTACAGACCCGCCCTCTCCTGGAGCCCCCTTCTGAGATGGGTCCCCTCGTTCCCCCTATTTTCCCGCACAGCCCCGGGGCCCTGGTAAGGGCTACAACAGGACCCAACAAACGTGCACCAGAATGTGACAGTTTACAGCATCTCCCTCCATTATCACATCCACTGAGGCAGGCAGGGCAAGCACCTGTTTTACCTGGAAATGGAGGTCAATTAAACCCAGGCCTTTCAGTTTAGTCTCTTAGACACCACAGTGGCCCCTGGAACCCACCAGAGCGCAATAAACCAGAAAATGCTCCATCTGCTACCCAGGATGCTAAGCCTGAGCTGGTATCCCTGCAGCTGACCCTCCCTCGTGTAGGGGAGGGGAAAATGGCTTGAGATGCAGGACCCTCGCTGTCATGGAGACAAACCTTTGAATTCCAGAATGTCCCAGAGCTTGACAAAGCAGTGCCTGGGCGTGCTTTGTCAGCCCAAACTCTGGGGCTTCGCTCCTAGAGGTAGGGGATTCTCACCAGGCTTGGCGGCGGCTCCAAAGGCCAGAACACTGCCCTCCTCCTCCGTTTCTGAGGCCAAGACAGTATTTGCTGAGGGCTCTCCTGCCTTCTTGGATGACTTCCCCGAGAGGAGGTGGGCCACTGTTTTCATAGAGGCAGGGTTTGGCATGGAGTTCCCCATCTTGCCGGCTGTCTCTGTCTTTGCCTACAGAGAATAAGAGTGATAGAACCATCTGGTATGGCATGGTGGATTAAGAGCACAGGCCACCTGCATCTGAACCCAATGCTACCACCAATACTTTCTAGCTGTGTGAGTTTAGGCAAGTTACCTCCCTAAGTTTCTGCTTCTCCCAAAACGGTATTTTCCCTCACAGAGGTGTGGAGAGTGGAAGTACAGTTCTTAGGACACAGTAGTTGCTTGCAACAGTTTTTGTGAATATTATCATTATTTCTATACATTCTTGCTAACACTCCAAGCAATTTCAGAGACAGAATCCTGCCTGTCTTTAGCACTGCTTTATATATTACCAGAAAATGATATTCTACTTTCTAAGTAGTTTCTGGTTTAGAATATACTTTCAGAGTTCCAGAACAACAGGTATCTTGTTTACTAAGGTGTCTCCACGCCCTGCACAGTGCCTGGAACATAACAGGTTTCGGTAAAGATCTATTGAATGGATGTAGGGAACGAAGGGGAAGACACTGTCCCCCAAAGGTGCACCATGTGCATGGTGGCCCACTGCAGTAGCATTATTCTCCTCTTACAGAAAAGGAAACCGAGGCTCAGAGAGATGAAGGGACTCACCAAGATCCCACAGCTGGCGACAGGTTGAGATCTGAACCCAGGTTGGACAATTACTCACAACCCTATTCTTCTCTGACATAGGCGACTGCCTCCTATGGGGCACTTCAACTCCCCTAGGCAATAGCTTGGAAGGAGGCCCCACTCACCTTGGCTTTTTCTTTCATGCTTGACAGCAAATCCGCCCCCATGGCTGAAGAGTTGGTACACGCTAGTCTTGGGGCTGCAAGATACAAACACCGGCCAGATGAGTTTTTCTCATCGGAGAATGGCAAACAGGTTTCATCTCCCCTAATCACTCAGTTGGTATTGGCTGCCTGGTACTGGCATGAGGATTTGTGGCTGAGCCCAGACTTGTGGGAATGAGCTCTCCCATCATGGCTAATGATGCATTAGCCATGTACACCACGAGCAAGAGAGAAGAAAATGCGTCTGTATCTCTGATGGATTCCTAACTCCCCTGTGGCAAGAGAAGTTGAGGCCTCCAGAGTGAAAAGCATTGCTCATGTTCCTGCTGTCTGCTACCACGAAGGCACTGCACAACGCCAGTGGTACCACCCACACAGGCTACCACACCGTAGCCCTAAAAGTCCTCAGCAAGAAGAGACAGCAGTCAGGTCCACAGAGAAAGCTGCTCGGAATTCAAATGGTTTCTTAGTGAAGAGGAAGCTGAACCATGAGACCTGGGCCCAGTTAGATGTTGAGATTTATAGATTCTTGGTGCTGCTGCTTTTACACCAGGGTACTGTTTCCTTAAGTCTCAGACTTCCTGTTGAAAAGAATGTTGCTGAGATGAATGGCATGATCTAATTCTTTTCCTGGCACTTACCTCCATCTCTCTCTTTGGAATTATGGAAAATTTTAAACATGTTCATAAGTAGAGAGGAAGTATCAACTTGTGGTCAATCCTATTTCATCTATTGTCTCATCCACCCTTCCCCATAATGCCTTACTTGGAAGAAAATGCCAGACATCCTATCATGTTGCCCACAAATACTTCGGCATGTTTCTCTCAATGAGGGCTCTTTAAAAAGCGTAATTACATACTTGGGAGGCTGAGGTGAGAGGATTGCTCAAGGCCAGGAGTTTGAGGCCGGCCTGGGCAACAACATAGCAAGACTTCGTTTCAAAAACCGCCCCCGCCGCCAAAGCATAATTACAATTCCATTATCACAGCTTAAAAATTTGATCAATATCAAACAGCCTGGCAGTATGAAATTTTACCATTTTTGTTTTACATAGTATGTAGATCTGTACATATGTGTGTATGGATGCATACAGATATGTATGCATACAGATGCAAAGGAGGGAGCAGTTAGGGAATGAAAGGGAACATGGTAGGAAAATACGAAATCTTCACCTTTTTCTTCTATATGGTTTTGTATGGTTCAAAGTGAATTTGTTTTGCATTTATAATTTAAGCAAGATATAAAATATACATCTAGTATGATCTCAAACATCTTTAAAAGCAGGCTCAGGAAGCTGGGTGTGGTGGCGCACGCCTATAGTCCCAGCTACTCGGGAGGCTAAAAGGCAAGACCGCTTGAGCGCAGAAGTTCAAGGATACAGTGCGCTACGATCACGCCTATGAACAGCCACTGCACTCCAGCCCGGGCAACATAGTGAGACCTTGTCTCTTAAGAGAAAAAAAGGCTCAGGAAAAATAAGTGGAAGAATAATTTGCCAAACTGTAGAAACTGTCTTCCATGTAAGCAAAAAAACAATAACATAACGCACAGTAAAGAGATAGGATGCATAGGAGACACGGCAACTCCTCTGTGGAGTTATGGCTGCTGCTGAGTAAAGCTCAAGGAGCCCTGGGAACTCGGACGGAGAAGGGGCTGTGAAAGCTTTGACTGGGTTACCCCCGCCAACGCTCTAAAACCAGAGTGCCCAGTACAGCCCCCAGTGCTAATGTGCAGATGTCAAAAATAACAGGAAGGTCAGCAACTCCCGAAGCACCCACAGGCCCCACAGAAGAGGTGTCCACTAGTGGCCTTCCAAAATCTCTCTGGTAGGACTTGGAAAATGTGGTCGCCTTCTCTCCCGCTTTATCAGAATCACCTGGGAGCGTGTACAAAGGCAGCCCCTAGGCCACACTGCATGTACACCAAATAAGACCGTAAGGACCTATCTGGTTTTTTTGGTTCGGCTTTGGATACTCAGAGCCTGGGGACACAATGTCTGGCACAGAGGAAGGGCTCAAATAAAAACTGAAAAGACTCATGGTTCCCTCCCAATCTTCCCTTAAAAGGTCCTGGTCTTCCCAGGGCTCACTAAAGGGGATGCTGGAGGTGGACTCTACCCTGGAACAATCCAATATCCCATAGCCTGTTCCCGAAGGTGCAGGGCCCGGGGCTGAGTCCCAACAAGCACCAATGAGGGGGGCCTGATTGGGAGGCCCATGTCCCCCAGCAGTGATTAGTATGCAGTGCTCTTACTGGCTTTGGCGGTTTCAGCTTCTGCCTCCTCTTCCTCTTCTGAGCTCTCTGAGCTGCTAATGGGGTCCGACACACGGGTCTTCTTAGCCAGTAGTGCCGCATCGGCCTCTGCCTTTCGCTTCTGGCCAAGCTCTGAGGTTCTGCAGGATAAGGGTGACTGTGACTGTCCATACCAACTGGGTAACACAACAACTCCAGGAGATTTGAATGGACAGATGTTCCCACATCCTCCCGGCCCCCAGAGGAAATGTGCATAGTGTTCAAACAGTGATCAAAACACAGTGCAGGTAAAATTTTGTGTTCCGCATTTTCACTCATTTCATAAAGTGCTTTTACAATTCTTAATTAGTCTTTAAGATAATCAGGAATGCTCGATGATGTTATATAACAGCAATAGTTAACAGTCTTTAGTGACAGGTGCCAGCCTGTGTGACACTTCACAGAACCCTCCGGGCTCTTCCTCCTCCAGAACTTGCTGTCTGTGCTGTGCCCTCTTCCTGGAAGACTCTGCCTGAGTCCTTGTCCTTCATTCTCAACTCTAATGTGGCCTCCTCAGAGAGGCCCTCGCTGATTGCCCCCTTCCCCAAGGCATTCTCTGCCCTGTCTTTCTGTTTCGTTTTCCTCAGAGCATTTTTCTCTGGCTTCTGTTATTTTGCTTACTTCCTGTCTGACTCCCCACCTACACAGAAAGGCCCGGGGAGGCAGGGAGGTGGCAGCTCACTGCAACGCCCTCAGTATCCTCAGTGCCTGGCACAAGTCTCAAAAAATGGACAACTAAGTGACTTGCTCAGGACCAAAGTACATTTGGGGCACTGGCAGGATGAGCACCCAGACAGCGAAGTCCCCTGAACTTTCAAGTCTCACTGCCTTTGAGCCCACCCTCCCGCCCCGCAGGGAGTCACCCCCATGTTTTCCAGCTGGAATGGACACTGCTATGCAGTTTGGGATGTGATGCTCAGGTCCCCTATTTCCAGGAAGGCTACTTGTCAGGAATCTTCTGCTAAAACAGGTTTCATTCACTACTCGTATCAATTTATTTAGCCTCTCTCCTCCCAGCAGAATGTAAGTTTGACAAGAGCAGGAATTTTTCTCTAGTTTGTTCCCAACTATATTAAGAATAGTGCCTGGCTTGTAGTAGGTGCTCAGTAAATACTGGGGTGGGGGGGCAGGGGGTACCTCCAACAGAGAGCTAGCTTTATCACTTTGTATGGACTACTGTGTTTAATCCTCACAATGCAATGAAATAATTACTATTATTATTTTCATTGTACAGATGAAGACACAGACTCAGGGAGGCCAAGAAACTTGCTCAAGGTCATACGGCTAGTTGTGGGAAACTATTAGGTTGGTTGCCCTTGGTGGGTGTGAGGTGCTTGTTCCACTCAGTAACCCTCACCCATAAAAGGGGCCAGTGGCAGGGAAGGGTGTGAGCAGCTCACTGAAGCAGTTTTCTGCGGAAGGAAGTATATGAATAACACTCACACATCCGGGCGAGTCAGACGGTAAGGAAGTACGATTGTGCCCTGCGCTCACCTTAGCGGCAGAGGACAGCCAAGAACAGAGGGCCGGCAGGGTTTTCAATGACCTTAGCTCTCCACTAGAGCTTTCCACACCGTTCCTGCCTTTGCTTACATACCTCTAATGACAGGGAGCTCACCACTCCCACTGTAGCCTACTTCATTTTTAGATAGTTCTGATGATCAAACGCTTCCATTCAGAAGGTGAAACATGTCTTCCTGAAGCAAGTACATAGGGGGCCCACTTCTATCTTCCAGGGCCCCAGAGAACGTGCTACTCTCTTTGTCCTCAAAGATGCGCAGACAGCAGTCCCTCACCTCCTCCCACCTGCCTCTTTTACATCTAGGACGTTTCAGTATTCTCTACCATTCCTCATGGGACACATCTGTAGGTCCTTTACTCCCCTAGTTGGCTGTGGTGAGGCCAGTGCACGGAGAGAACATGATTATCCCCTCCTTCATTCTCAAGCCATTTCTCTGTTGATACATCCTTAGATTATTCCCTCTTCCTTGAAAAACATTTAAATTTTAGTTCTTTCACAGGCATTTTACGGCCAACCCGTCCTTGAAATCTTTCCCTCCAAATTGGGTTCCCTTCCAGCTCTATGCATGGACCCACCTTCCACCCAGGTAGGTGCAAAAGCCAGATCTGGGAGTCAATTAGATACTTCCTCTCCCACCCACGGATCCTGGTTTTGTCCCTTATTATTCTTAGAATCTACTATCTATCTCTTGTTGTCTCTGTCTCAAGCCCCATCAGCTCTTGCCTGGATGATGACGTCTGAAGCCCTGACCAGTCTCACCATGGTGCAAAGTGATCTCCTCACTCACCGTTTCGCCCTTCCGTGGCCCCTACTGCTCTTGGGTAAAGGCGAAATTTCTCACCACGGATGACCAGGCCTTGCCTGGGTGGGCCCTGCCAACTGCCCAGCCTCATCTATCCTGTCCCCTGGCCACAGGCCTCAGCACTAGCAATTCCCACTGCCAAGTACGCTCTGCCTGCCCCTCTACACCCATTACCTAGTTCACTCCCCGACTTCCCGCAGCTCTCAAGTCAAAGGTCACCTCGTGTATGTGGCTGCGGCACCAGGTCCCTTTCTTTCATAATCCTCACTACCACCGTCGTTCTACATTCAATCGTTTTGCCCTTTGACTCGTGCCTACCTCCTTGACTACAATGTCAGCAGCAGGAAAGAAGGAACCACGTCTGGCTCGTTTTTGACAGTTCCATGCTGAGAACAGGACTTGGCATTTAGCAGGTATTCAGTAAATGTTTGGCGACCAAATGAATAACGAGTTGGTGAGAAGCTTTTCTTCCTAAGAGATCACAGTCCTCAATGTCTCCTTCCACGGAAATACCCATATATGTGACCTGAACTGACTTCCTGGAGGCAACACGATATCCATAGTGGGCTAAGGGGACAGATCTTAGACTAGACTAAAATCCTAGCTTATTCTGAGCCGATTGCACGGGGTGTCCCTACTCCCCGCTTCGGTCCCACCAGACTTACTGTTGCCAGTGTGTATAGATGTCCAGGAGGGTGACGGGCTGAGCCAGCAAAATTTTCTGCAGAGAAGTAAACAGAGAGCCACAGTTAACTCCCCAGCACAGAAAGGGTCCTCCTTGGGCCCAGCTCTCCCTGACCTCATGACTTGCACAAACAGGTGGTTCAGAAGAGGATCTTTTTGTTCTGGGAAGTATGTCTGCTTGGTCCTGCCAGTTCCATCCAAAACCTTCCACAGGCAAGAAGGACAAGCAACTCCAGCTAAAACCTTTTAAGACATGTTGGTGAGAGGCACCGCTGAGAAGCTGGAGTTAGAATGTTCCAAGCTAGCATTTATCCAGCCTCCCTAGCACTATCCACACTTACAGGCCACGAGACAGGGCTTTTCCCACCCGACCTTCAAAATGGCTTTCAAAGGCCTGGCTAGTCAATCTCCCCAAAGCACGAACCACAGCCCAGACACCAGAGGCATCCAGGTGGCATGACCGCAGCGGTCCACTAGTCTGCTGGGAAGAGACTGGGCCCAAATGGTGCCAGTCTCTTGGCAGAATCAGAGGGAATCCGGTAGAATCCAGGCCATTCTAGCACAGGCCCGAGGGCCCATTATCTATGTAAATGTCAAGAGCTCCAAGGAGGGTGGGTAAGCAGTGTGGGGCAAGGGTGGAAGGTGTCAGGAACCTGGGCAGTGTGGCAAGAGGGTACATCTGGGGTCAGGCAGCATTTCTCTGTTAACTGGCTGACTAATCTCTTCACCTCTTCAAACTTCAGTTTCCTTCTTTATAACAGGGGATAACAGCAATACCCACCTTGCAGGCTGCTATCAGGTCTGAACAAAACAACTTATGTCAGTGCCCAGCACAGTGAATCAGTAACATTGAGACTTCAAGAGTTAGTTTCACTCTGGGAGGCCGAGCTGGGCGGATCCTTTGAGCTCAGGAGTTCGAGACCAGCCTGAGGCAAGAGCGAGACCCCGTCTCTACTAAAAATAGAAAGAAATTGGCCAAACAACTAAAAATAGAAAAAATTAGGCGGGCATGGTGGCATGTGCCTGTAGTCCCAGCTACCCCGGAGGCTGAGGCAGGAGGATCCCTTGAATCCAGGAGTTTGAGGTTGCTGTGAGCTAGGCTGACGCCACGGCACTCTAGCCTGGGCAACAGAGTGAGACTCTGTCTCAAAAAAAAAGAGTTAGTTCCACTCTGCTCCACCCCAGGCACAGTGGCCTCCTCACTCTCCTCAAATGTGTCAGACCACCCTGCCCCCAACAGGACCTTCCTATTCTTGCAGTCTAGAATGTTCTCTCCCCTACTAACCACACAGCTCACCCCCCTCATTTCCTTCCAATCTTTGCCTAATTGTCACCTTCTCAGTGAGGCTTCCGTGACCACCCTATTTATAACGGAACCCTGATATTCCTAACCTCCCTTGCCTGCCTTATTCTTATAGCTAGTACCTACCATCACCACACATACTGTATCATGAACTTATTTTTTATATTTGTCATCTGTCTGCTCCTGCTATAATGTACGCAGACACTTTTGCCTGGGCATGTGCCCCAATGGACTATCTCTCACTCCCCTTATCTGTTAAGTGATATGAATGGAGGAGGAAGGGCAACTGGAGTTGGCTAAAAGCACAGGTAACAACTCAGGGCTCATCGCCTTTCAGTTTCTTCAGGAGGCCCTGTGAGCAAGCATCAGGCCCAGAGCCTACACCATAGCCAAAGGGATCCTGACTACTCAGGGTACTGTCTTACCAGCTTAAAACCCTCCAGTGGTTTACCACTGCTCTTCAGATGAAGGCCAAACTGCCCACCAGACCACTCCAGCCAGCCTCTGCCTCCATTTCCCCATGGGCATCTAAAGTCCTTGTACTCCACCCTTCAGCCACAGTGGACTTTCCTGAGGCCAGCAAGTACATAAGCTCCCTCCTACCACAGGCCATTTGCATGTCAGCCTGCAACAGCCACCTCCCTTCTTTCAGATCTTTTTTTTGTTTGAGACAGGGTCTCACTCTATTGCCCAGGGTAGAGTGCAGTGGCATCATCACAGCTCAGTGCAACCTCAAATGCCTGGGCTCAACCAATCCTCCTGCCTCAGCCTCTCGAGTAACTGGGAATACAGCCATGCCACCATGGCCAGCTAATTTTTGTATTTTTTGTAGAAATGAGGTCTCACTGTGTTGTTCAGGTTGGTCTCGAACTCCTGACCTCAAGCAATCCTCCTGCCTGGGGCTCTCAAAGTGCTAGGATTACGGGCGTGACCCACCACGCCCAGCCTTAGATCTCAAATCAAATGCTACTTCCTTTGTGAAGCAGTTCTGGATATCCCTGACAAGGACAGCCTGCCACATCCCTGTGCTTCTTATTCTTAACACTTGCAAAGTAATGTTAAGTCACTTTTGTGGTTCTGAGATTTGTCTCCCCGACTAGACTGTAAGCTCCAGGCAGGCTCACCATTCGATCACCAGCACCCCAAGCACCAGATTAACAGTTGCCAAATGAATCAATCAAGTAAGAAATGACTGCACCACGAGTTCGAGTCCCAAATTTGTCCGTCTCAGTACAGAGGATTGCTAAGGGCCTGAGTTCCAGTTCAACTAAGGGGCCACGGGACTCTTCTCTGGACGCTCCCCCAGGGGGCTGGCCGCAATCTACCCCTGAGACTCGCAGCAACCTCCTCGTCCCCGGGGGACTGCGCCGAGCCACGTGGCTGGAGACTTAGGAAACTTAAAAACGCCGCTATCCGCAAGGGGGTGGAGGTAAAGGGGCGCGGGAATTACAAAGCCCTGCGCTTGAAATCACACGTCCCGTCCCGCCCACTGCACAGACGAGGAAACTGAGGCCCAAGGGGCTGGAAGTCGCAAGAAGAGAGACAGAGGCTGTGGCGCCTCCCGCAGCCCTGGCCGGTGTCCTAGAGCACCGCGGGACCCGGCTCCCGGCGCCCGCCAGGTTGCCTGCGGAGGGGGCTGGGGCGGCTAATCTCCGGATCTTGCACGCGGCCCTCACACACGGCCCTCGAACGCGCCTACCTGGCCGCTCTGCTCCTTCACTTCCCGCGCCGCGCGCACATAGCCGGCCCGCAGCAGATGATGGTAGATCAGGGGAAGCAGCTCCCGCCGCTTCCTGGCCTCGGCCATGCCCGCGACCCCCGGCCGGTCGGCTCACCTGCACGCCCCCCGTCAGTCCCCGCCCGCCACTTCCCTCGCGCCCTTAGACCTTGCGCGTCCTACTTCCGCCTCCTCTTTCGCCCCGGCCGCGTGGCACGCCGGGAAATGTAGTCTTATCTCCTGGAATGGTAGGCCCCGCCCCAGCGGGCGAAAGGGGCGGGGACGCGGAGGGCTTCAAGACCACCCATTGGCGCGGAGAGGGCGGGGTTAGGCCTGGACCCGCCCCCGGGGCCGGATGCGGTGGGAGTGACTCCATCTTTTTAATCCTAAAGGCTTGCTCCTTGAAGAGATTTGTCTCCCATGTTAATTCTCTGACGGCTGCAACCGGTTTTACTAACTTATGAACTTTATAATCTGCATCTGTCTCTACACCTGAACTTCCAGTTACCCACTCATTTATTCATTTCATAAATTTTTTGGGACCTATGAACCAGGCACGAGTGGTCATTAGTTTATTCATTCCTTCACTGAACAGATATTTACGGAGCACAGTACCTTGGGCTAGAACCTGGGGAGGCTGGGGGGATAAAAAGATGCATAAAACATGGCGGCTGCCCTCAGAGCTCACCTGGGCCAGGATGACTGTCAGTAACCAAGCAACTGTTGTTCGATACCTGGTATGCATTGTCAGGGACGGGCATAGCCTATGGTAGCCCCAGGAGAGGCACCTAATCCCCCCAAAACATCTAAGCTAAGGAGTAAAGACGTAGGAATTTCTAGGTGCAAGGGAGAAGACTGGTACACCAGGCAGAGGGCATTGCATGAGACATGAGAAATCACCCTGGTTTAGACTGGGAACCTGAAACACAGAGCCCCTCCTGTGCTGCTGGGCTGTAAAGTTGGAGGGAGAGGGAAAAAATGAGGACACGTGAGGATGGAGAAGTAGACAGGGACTGTGGCTCCGCGCCCCCATCTCCCTCAGAGTTTGGACTTTGCTCTAAGGGCATTAGATAGTCTCTGGCTTTATGAAGGAAGGTGAGCTGGGTTTGTGTTTTTAAAAGATAGCTATGACCAAAGTATGGAGGACGAATTTGTGGAAAACTAAACTGGATGTGAGGTATCGTAGTTGTTGAAGGAAAGCTGGCAAGGAAAGGGTGAGCTAGGCTGGGGAATGTTTGAGTCAGCAATTCTTAACTTCACGGACCCGTTGAGAATCTGATGACAGCGCAAACCACCCAGCCCTTGCTGAAGAACATGTTGAATGTGTACAGACATATAACATTTTCCTCCCAAGTTCAGGACACGGATAAACACATAACTGGACCTCCTAGGGGAAGGGACTCCTGCTCCAGGAAGAAACATGGATAGGACCAGGTGACTAACTGAATGTGGTGGGTGAAGAAGAGAGTGACTAAGCTACATTCAGCCATTTAGCAAGTATTTATTGAGTACCTACTATTGGGGATGAAACAATCTGTACTCCTATAGAGCTTACAGTCTAATGAGGGAGACACATGCTAAACATATAGTCATACAATACACTGTTACAAACGGTGGGTGAGTGCAGGAAGGAAAATTCTTATGGAATAATATAGTATTTAAAAGCTACACTGCAGTCACACTGCCTGGGTTCAAATTCTGGCTTCGCCTCATTAACTAGGTGACCTTGGACAAGTTATACAACTCCTCTGTGACTCAGTTTCCTTATCTGTAAAATGGAGATAATTATAATTTCCACCAGGTAGGATTGTCGTGAGGAATGAATGAGTTCTAAGCAGAAATGCTTAGAAAAGCTCCTAACAATAGTGTTCCCAGTGTGTGTGTGTTAGTTATTATTGTGAATGCATTTAATGGAAAGGAGGGATCTATTTTTTCTTGGGGGTTAGGGAAGGATTCCCCGAGGAAGTGATGTTTGTGAGGAAACCTGAATGGAGAGGGTGAGGGACAAGAAACCTGGGCAGAGGTAAGAGCCTGTGCAAAGGGCCTGAGGCAGAAGGTACAGTTGAGAGAAGAGGCAAGGGAAGGCCTTTGTAGCAGGGCCCAGAGGAAGAGTAGGGGATTGGGCAGTGTAGAATGTGGGCAGAGGGCACAGTCCACACTAAGGATCTGCCACATCAGGGGTCTTTCTCTTCATCCTAAGAGCAATTGGAAGCCACCGATAGTGTAAGCCCAGGATGGATAGATGAAATTTGAATTTTAATGTGACCTATGTGAGTGCCCAGTGGAGAGTGGAGTGGGGGGTATGAGTAAATGTGGAAACACGAGTTAGGGTTAGTGTAGGCAGGCATCCAGGGAGAAGATGGGGGTGGTGTGTTAGTTTCAGTAGAGTTGGAGAGCAGTGGAAGGTTCCTAGAGTTAATCAGGAAGGAAAGTTGTCACAGTGATGTGTTGGGATGGGAGGGTAACGGAGAGGTAGTGTCAGGATGGACTCCGAGGTTTCTGTGCGAACAGGCAGGCAGCATCTTTTGCTGAGATAGGAAGAGCCGGAAGAGGACCAGGATGCTGGGTGGTTTCAGTGAGGGGGGGAGGGGGTGGAGGGGGAGAGGAAAGTATAAATTCTACTTTACACACGTCGAGCTTGAAGTGCCTTAGAGACACCCAGTGCAGACGTTGAGTAGGTACTTGGAAACCTGGGTTTGGACACAGCATAGATCTGGGCTGCAGATAAAGATGGGAAGTTGTCAACAGAGAGATGATAATTGTGGCTGTGGATGAAGACAAGCTTGCCCAGGGAGAAGAACTTGGGAAGAGAAGAGAGGTGGCCCAGGATGAAGCTCTGAGGCGCACCCACAGGTTCGGGCTGTGCGAAGAAGGATCTGCCTGCACAGCCCAGCAGGAGTGGCTGCAGAGGTGGGGGGGAACCCAGGAGTGTGGGCTTATGGAAGGAGGCCAAGGGAAGCATTTTGGAAAGGTGGGAAGAGTCGACGGAGGATGCAGCCCTGGGCTTCAGCTCAACAACAGGCATGGAGATTGGTGGGGGCCCTGGGGAGGGCTGTTTATGTGGCATGATGGAGAGGGTCAGATGGCAGTGGTCTGATGTGCAGGAGGGATGAGGGAGGCATAGGTCTTTTGAGAAGTTTTAGTGTGAGGGGGAGGAGAGAGATGAAGTGATAGGGTCAATGTGTTTGTTGGAGGAGGTGTGTTTTAAGGTGAAAGAGACTTGAGATTGTTTAAAAACTGATGGCAGATCTAGGGGAGAGAGATTAATCAAGTGTGCAGGAAATAGGGGAGACAGTGAGTAATGTTGGCGAGCTTGTGTGAGGGGATGGGATCAGGCGTGTGGGTGGAGGGGTTGGTCTTGGGGGGAGGAGGGATGACTTCTCTAGAACCCAAAAGTGGGAACAAAGAGAGGATGGGTGCAGATGTAGATGTAGGTTTAAAGTGGGATGTTAAGGGAGATTTCATCTCGAGCTTCTATTTTTTCTGCAAAGTGGGAGGCAAGGTCTTCTGCTGAGAGTAAGGAAGAGGTGGTGAGGAGTTTGAAGGAAGGAGAATGATCATTCAGAGAGTCGAGAAGCAGTTTACCCACAAAATCCCTAATCACCTGATAGTCTTGGCAACCCAGTTGAGGTTGGTGGGAATTAGTGGATGTGTGTCCTGTCCTGCCGAGTGATTTCCTCCATAGGGGCTTTCCTACCCAGCGACAGGCAGGGGGAAGTACTCGGTGGGGTTTATCCAGGTTTATCTAGGGCTTTGCCAGACAGGTGGGGAAAAAGGGCACAGGGGTCTAGTGTGTTGGCAAAGGAGAAGCTGAATCTCTGGGCTCTGGGATCTAGGCTGGGCAGGGAGAGAAGCAAGGCAGATGAGGTCAGCTTTCAGGGGGATAGTGGAAGCCTTCATGGCCTGGGCCACTGGGAGGTTGGGAACTAAGATTAGAGAGGGCTGGCAGCTCCATTCGGGGATGGCGCCCAGGCTTCTGCTTGGGTGACTGGATGCGCAATGAACATATATGATGAGCATACAAACCATTGTAAGATCTAAGGATTTTTTTCACCAACCCCCCTCCCACCCCCAACACCAATTTTCATTCCCTTGACAGCATTCCAGCCCCACTTGAGGAAGCCTGGGTGAGTAGAATGCAGACACCCTGAAAGCAGACTCATGGTGGTCTCGTTGGTTGCATTATCTCCAACCTTTAGCACTGTGCACGCACACAGCAGGCATTTAATAAATATTGGCAAATGCATGGATGTTTTCAGACCACCTCCTGAAGAAGAGGGGAGGGCAGAGCAGGCAGGGCGCTCACAGGGAGTATATGCCCAGAGGTGGGAATGTGGAAAGCTTCTAGAAGGCAGCAGAGAAGGGACTGAGTTGTGCATCCTTGGCTGACCCTGGAAGAAATGGAGAACTGGTATTAAATTAAAGAACAAAAATAAAACAAAATGGTCTAATACCTTCTGTCTGGCAACAGGTTGTTTGTTTTTGTTTTGTTCCTAATAAAATTCATTGTCGGCACTGATGCTTTGTCTTCGGCTCCTGGGAGGCTGGCTCTTCTGTGGACGATTTCTTTATTTCCTTGATTTTCCAAATCATACCCTTCACTGAATTGCCTTAGGGCCCAAGCACAAAATTAGAACATTAAACTGATAAAATATAACATGGCAACAATTAAGACAGGAGCAAACAAAACAGTGCATTAAAAAAAATTAGCCTCCGAACATTTCTCTATCAGTTAGGAAAAAAGATATCTTTGTTAGTGGTAGAAGCCAGAAGCTTCCAGACCACTCAACTGTGAGCACCCCTTGGGCAAGCAGCACGCCTTAGTCACCTTGGATTCACATGCAGGGCACAGTGCGGTCACTCAGGACACAAGTGAAGGAAGAATGAGCAGCAGCAGGTGGGCACTCTACTCTCCTCCCAGCAGGAATGGCTCTGGCATAGAGGCGGAAGGTAGCGTGGTACAGTGGAGAGGCTACTGGGCCAGGAGTACTTCCCTTCTAGGCCAGTTTGCCTGTGTGGCCTTGGGCCAGTTTCTTGCCTTCTCTGGTCCTAGCATTACCTTCTGTTAAATGAAGCTGTTGGACAAAGGCCCTTCCAGCACTGGGCCTATCAAGAGAAGGACCCATCCGGAAAGCCTACCCTTGCCCCCGGCCTCCTTCATGCACTGTAGCAGTGGCTTTTCCCTGCGCCAAGTCACTT